TTTTATCAATTAGATATTGCACATATTCTTATTTTTCATAATTTATTTTTTTATCTAAAGGCACAAAATACTGTGTAGGACAATGAAATTATTTCCCTCATGTAGCGGATGATCAATGTTAGTTCCTTCTTTTCTAATTTGTCATTTGTTGTATGTTTGTCCAAATTATATTATTTTTATTTATTTATTATATTGTGAATTGTCCAGAATCACACTAGAGTTGTGGGGGGCACCAAATTAAACAAACAAATACTTGTAATCCAAATAATAATGCTATTTAACCATAGTCATGTGTATTCAAACAGCAATTCTCTTGAATTTTGTTGGCAGAAAATGAATTTCTATTTATAATAGTTATCATAATGAATGTGACATTTTTCCACATGACATGATCTATTGAGTTCAATGAGCAGAAAATCTATGGAAGGAATAGCTTTGTTTTTTAATTTCTCCTTGATGATATTTCTGCTTAGTATTACAGCTGCAGTTAAATTGATAATTTATTCATATGATTGTTTTTTTTCTTAGTTCATCCTCACCAGACTTGACATCAAGTGCAAAACTGACAGCCAATCGGAAGAGCACAGGACAACTTAATGTGAATTCAGGAGCTGTCAGTGGCAGTACGGGCACTGCTGAGCGTAGCAGACATCAGAGGAGTTTTTCAGTGCCTAAAAAGTTTGGGGTTGTGGATAGAACTTCTGATCCCCCTCGCAGTGCCACTCTGGATAGAATTCAGGCTTGCACACAGCAAGGCCTTTCCTCCAAAACTAGGAGCTCCACTTCTTTGAAGGACAGTCTTTCAGATCCTACCAATATTAACAATCCAACTAACCTGCTGGCTACCATTTTCTGGGGAGCAGTGGCTTTGATGGAATCTGATTTTGAATTTGAGTATCTAATGGCACTAAGACTGCTCAGTAAGCTACTCGTTCATCTGCCACTAGATAAAGTAGAAAACAGGGAAAAATTAGAAAAGCTACAAGGACAACTAAAATGGACAGATTTCTCAGGGCTCCAACAACTTCTGCTTAAAGGTTTTACTTCTCTAACAACTACTGATCTCACACTCCAGCTCTTCAGTTTGCTGACTCCAGTATCACGTGTATCCATGGTGGATTCCTCTCAGGCTATAGGTACATCTCATACATGTTTTCCTTATTCTTTATCAAAAATTAAATGAACATCAAATGGTGAAAGCTCAACTTGGATTTGGTAATACAGTATGTATTTATATAAATAGCTAATTACAAAATCTTGGAAACAGGCTAAGCGATTACATATTAGGAGGTCATAGGGTTACTGTCTCTGCTTCCTGGTAAATTATAATGAAAATAATGCATATTGTGTCATATTCCAAGTTTCCCCATTCTTCCTCTACTTCAGTCTCTACTTTCTTCTATTAACGAAGTGGGTGCTAATTTAAAATTTAAAGAAAACTAGGGAAACTGCCCTTCTTTTCTTACCTTTAGCTTTCTGTCCATGTTATTGTGACATTCCTCCTTACCTCTATGTAAGAAGTTGGCCAGTTAACCCTTTACCTTAGGACACAGGTGTCAAACCGGCGACATCACATGACGTGTCGTGACTTTTTTCCCATTGCCGGCAATGGGGTGGGCGTGGTTTTGGCGTGACGCATCTGGGCCACGGGCCAGCAGTTTGACACCCCTGCCTTAGGAGAATGAACGTATTTCCACTATTTTATCATTGTTACCCCCCAGGCATAAAAACCTACAAACTACACCTTCTATTCCATATGAAATCCTATGTGTATAATTAATATACATTTATATTATTATATGCAATAATTAATAGCAATTACATTTTGCATATTACTGAAACGACAAACAACTGAAAGTACCCAATTATTATTTTCACAATCAGAATTAAGAAAAGAGATATGGATTGTATTTTTGGTACATAATGTATGTTTTCAGTCAGTTTCATTTATTATCATGTAATACATTACAGCTTCACATCTATGTTTATTTCTATTTTTTAATGTCAGGATTTCCACTGAATGTTTTATGCCTTCTGCCTCATTTAATTCAGCACTTTGATGGCCCAAATCAGCTCTGCAAGGATATAGCAGAGAGGATTGCTCAGGTACGCTATGTTTAATATTATGT